GCCTGACTTTTGCGTGGATCACCTTGTATATAAAAAAAATATATATATATATATGCGTGTGTGTGTGTGTGTATGCTGTAAATTTTCGACGAGATGAAGTATACGTTGCAAAAATTTACCGGATAAATGATCCAAACTCACGCATATAAGCCTCCAAGGTCTAAGGTTGCGAAAAATGTCGCTAAGAGAGACAAGTCGACGAGCAAACGAAGGAAGCTATCAACTGTATTATTAGTAATTATCGCGTGTTTCTCATGAATCAAACGATAACCAGGAAATTAGTTCAGGATTTATCAACGTAGCTGTTTTATGAACGTGATATTTCCTCCATTTTTCTTCTCTTAAATCTCTTTGTAAAAAACATACATTTATAAAATGCAACTTATAAATAAACGCATTAAAATTTTTATTAAATTCACTTGCGATAAATTTGATAAAAAGAGAGCAACGCGGCAAATTTCTGCATTCTGTATACCTAGGATAAACCTCCAAGAAATACTATATTTTGAGGGCGAAGTTTCATCCCTGTAGGCTTTGAAAGATCGATCGCTGAAGCATACATAAATGATTTACGGTGGTTTCTCAGTTTTATTCCGAGATAACTCGTGCATAAAACTCGCACATCCAAGAGTGTTCTCTGATTTGCAAATGATATTGATGCGATGTTGTGTGCAACTCAGTTTACACCTTCGCGCGATCAGCTAAAATTATAGATTTGAAATATATTCTGCAAAACATAATTATTCTTGCGGAAAGTCGGTGAATCACGTAAAATATCAACGAATTATTCAACGAAATTACGTAAATTCCTACAAAGAATAAAAAGAATAGTTTCGTAAAAATATTTAAAACTTTGATTATAAATACAGATCTGAAAATAATTTTAATGGGCCATCAAAATAATTATGTAGGATACTCAAACATGATGCAAAGTTTTTTTGTGTTCTAGTAACCAATTTGAGCATTCTATATAATTATTTTGATGGACCAACTAAATTATTTTCAGATTTATCCAGCTAAAGTTTTAAATATACTTTTACAAAATCATTCTTTCCATGTTATCTTTAAATAAAAAAAAACGTTTTAATATTATAATATAGTAATTATATATATATATGTATATATGTATAATACAATTATATTCCCTATTCATTACATTTTATATTTATATTTAACGCAATATTAATAATTATACCAATTACATGTTGCATTTCTTGATACGTATATCTTTGATCTATTTGTTTTAATTCATGTTTTATATCTATTTTTGGTGAACCTGTGAATTTTGAATATTAGGGATTCGTCATTTCGCCAAATAAATTCTCGTCAATTTCTTTCGCCGATTTTTTATACAAGAAAGTGACTCACAGTGCGGTCATGCAACCTTGCGCGGAGGTCGCTAGTACGTGAGCACTTTTAATCTATAAGAAGACTTATAAGAGGATAATTGGAGACGACCACTTGGTATATTCGTAGACACGCTGACGTGAGCATCTTGTCTAAGCAACGTGACTACATATCTGCGATGTCTTGAAAACATATAGCAATGGTGCTTGTGGCAAATCTTGTCAAAATAAACCTCCTCTAGCGAAAGTCTTCGATATATTCTATTTATTTATTACATTTTAATTTTTTATTCAGTTCTCTCAAATAATGATGCGTAAATGTATTATAATTTGACAAAATATCAAATGATTCTTTTATACAGTTTAATATTAAAAATATTTTTCTTCCTTATAATAATAATAACCCAGGTGGAAAAAGAAATGCTTTCATTTTTTAATTTAATAATTAATATATTTAAAATAATAAAATTTATAAAATTTATTTTATCATTATTCGATAAAATTTATTACATAATTTTTTACTTTTTTTCGTAAATTAGTAATTATTAGAAACTAGATATTTGTCTGGAAAGTATATTATCACCACCGTCAAAATATATAAGATAATTTTTCAATCAAATTAATGACGAAATAATTGAAACGTTCGTGCAAACTTCCTTTAGCTATTCATTGGATTCGTTGGGTAACGCGGCTGTAGGCGAGCGAATTACTGTAGAACATTTGATAGCCAAGGGAAATTATCGAATTAAAAAAGATTAAAACGACGATTCGTGCACGCACGAATCTAGAGTATGTTTGCGTTCTTGATTCCGCTGCAAGAGCCTGTCTGAAGCATGGTTCACCGAGAATAAGGTCCGCGACGATAACTCGGGCAAAAGGTTATTAAATAAGTAAACTGTTTCTTTTATATTCTGGGTGAGAAATGTGAAAGCTATGTGTTCACAGTACTTTTACACATAAACAATTTTTCTAGATGTTACGGAAATACGGGTATAAAAAGCGCAACGTAAAGAGCGACGAAAGAATATTTTTGCATTATTTTTAATATTGTATAATAAGCTAGATAGAAAGAATACAATATGTTTTGTTTGCATTCATTTATAAATCGTGAAATTGTCCTACAATTACACCAAATAAGAGAAAAAGTGTTACAAACTGTTTTAGAAAATAAATTATTAAATAAATATAGAATAAATTCGATTTTTTTAAAAACTTAAAGAAATTTAAATACGAAAATTTAGATAAGAAATTATGGCATATACTCATTAAAAATATATTTTAATTGGAATATATATAAAATTAAAATTAAAGTTATAAATGGATCAAAATCGTCGTTTGTTTATAATGAGTAGAATTTCTATAAAAAATAATTTATTTACTAAAAGACTAAAAATATAACAGTAATAATATTAGGAATATCCGCGAATTCGAATTTTCATGAAAGCGGCATACCTGTGATAAATTCGGTTACATTTTCACAGGGGTTACTCCAATTGTATCGTTTTCCACAAAGCGGACAAAAATAAAATGTTTTATACGTTGAGATATATATATGTATATATTAAATAAAATAAAACATTTTATTATCGGTTCTCAGAACCAATATACAGGGTGTTTGATAAGTAACGATAAATCTTTCGCACAGGAGCAGAATGGACTAAATTAACAAAGTCTTCTACTATTTACAATTTTCGCAATAGTAAACAAAATATTAATTATTAAAAATTGTCGAAAATTGGTCTCTTACAATTTTTGTCTCTTACAATTTTTTTGTAAAGTTGATAGTATTTAAGTAAAAAATTGGAGACCAATTTTCAGCAATTTTTAGCAATTAATATCTTATTAATTATTGCGAAAATTGCAAAATGGTAGAGGACTTTTCTTCTCAGTTTAGTTCATTCTGCTCTCGTACGAAAGATTTATCATTACTTATCAAACACTCTGTATGTTACGCGCGCGCGCGCGTGTGTGTGTGTTTGTGTGTGTACATATATATCGATTCTAAGAACCGATAATATTGTAAGATGCTGGTGTTGCTTATGTAATTCTTGTACGAGTCATATAATAGCTAGTAAAATAACATCAACCTGATACAATTACGTTTCCGTAAATATATATGTACGTTATAATATAAATAGTTCCATAAATAATTAAAAAATCATATCGAATAACCAAATTATGTTTTTATACGACATTTCACATTCCTTGCACATATATTCTTCTGTACATTACTTTTTCATTAACCTGAAGTCAATTTTTCCAACTTAGAGCGAAAGTGTTGAGAGAGATTTATCGAGACCATTTATCGCAGCTTTCTTCAATTTTTAATATTGTGTATCTTTGCGATTGAATCAGAATTGAAGTATTAAAGTAAACTCCTGAAAATAGTTGAAGAATGTAAATCATGTTATTTCCATTTGAGTCTCGATTTGAAGTCTTACGAAAAAAGTTCTTTTCTTCATTTTTTTTAACTTCAAAAATGATTAAAAAAGTTGACTTCAAATTATTTTTATAATATGCAAAGAAGTACATTCTGTGCATTTATATTTTATATTTTTACATATATTTGTAGATATTTATTAATTTCCAAAATTAAGATATATCATTTGGATTTATTTTTTGCAAAGCACGCATTTTTGGCAAAATTATATTTTTGAAAAAAGCTCCTTCAGAATGCAATCCTCAATAAATGACAAATGCATCGTCAACAGATGATGCAATAATGTTTATTCGATCAAGAAGTAAATATCTTCTCCTTTCTATCTTCGACTTGAATCGTGAAAAAGTAAACGCGCATCTCCCAACATCGGAAATATACGTAACTATGTTTAAACTTTAAACCATTAATCATTCAATCTTAATCAGTTATCGATAATCTATTATATCAAGAGACACGGTAGTGTCTCGCGCCAAGTGGGCGCGCAGCGCGAGACACGCATGTGTTTACGCGAGTCAGCGAGTTGCGGGCATCCGAGCATCCGAAATTCTCGGTTTTTTTAATAAAGGCTAGACCGATCGAGTTCTGAATATGAGCTCCATCGACAGTTTGGGTCCGAATTATATAATAAACGTTTATTTTACCTCTACATGTCCCACGAACGGAGATATCGTGATACGAAATCCGAAATGTCAAAATTTTATTTGTAAGATACGTCGCCTCAAAAAGTCATCTCCTTTTTACATTTTCGACGGTAGATGGCACTCGTTTATTGCTGTCATTTACCGACTTATTTATCTATAGTTTCATTAGCACAGTATTATGTGTCGACATTTCACTGTATAGTTATTTTAATACTTTAATAAGTTACTTTTAAATTAAAAGTGTATAAAAATATAAAACAGGCCGCTTGATGTGTGAACATTATTACGTATACAGCCATTGACAAAATTATTAGGCACCCTTGCTTTTTCTAAATTTTTCACAACTGAATGTGCATAAGCTCTCTATTTGCGTGTTGTTTTCATGCTACTGACTTTGTGAGAAGGTCAAGCAACTGAGGCATATAAGTTTCTTAGAGAAATGATAATATGTACAAAACTGTTTAGTATGCATTTCGACTTCGAATAATACGGACGTTATCAGTCTTGTTTCGAGCAATTGCTGGGCAATTCTTTATCTTATTATTGTTAACATATTATCCGAGATTTCAAAATATGTCTAAAACACGCGAGTTGAGTGAAGGAAAACGGGCTCAGATTATTGTGTTGCATTCCGTAGGATTATCTCAAGTGCAAATAGCAAAAAAAATAAAATGCTCCCGTTGCGCAGTTCAAACTACAATAAAAAGATATAATGATACTAAACAGTTTAAATCCAGATCTGGAAGAGGAAGAAAACGAAAGACTACTGCCAGAGAAGATCGATATTTAAAGCAAAATGCTCTAAAAGATCGTCGGCAAACGGCAAAAGAATTAACTGCTGCGTTAAGAAGTGATCATGAAATTAGTATTTCCGCCAAAACTGTTAGTAGACGCCTCAATGAATTTGGGATTAAAGCAAGAAAGGCCAGACAGAAACCATGGCTCTCAGAGACAAACAGAAAGAAACGATTAGCATGGGCAAAAAAATACAAAAGTTGGACAGCATCAGACTGGGATAAAATATTATGGTCGGATGAAAGCAACATTCAGGTAAGTTTAACAACTTTATAATGAGTAATTAAATGTAATATTTTTAATCGCAAGTACGAAAATACAACATAAAAATACGTTCACTGCATGTATGAATTTTTTCTTGTTGTTTGCAGTTGTTTGGCACTCCTGGAGCCGTATATGTGCATCGCAGAATTGGAGAAGCATATAATCCGAAGTGTATCGTTCCTACCGTAAAACATGGTGGAGGTAGTATTATGATTTGGAGCTGTATGGCGTCAGCCGGCGTGGGAATTCCATTTATTTGTTCGGGTCGAATGAACTCAGAAATTTATACAGCCATGTTAGGACAGACCTTCTATGGCAAAAATATTTAAAGAGGAGACAGAGCAAGTGATATTCCAACAAGATGATGCTCCCTGTCATACTGCACGTAAGAGCATTGCGTGGTTTAAGCGAAATAAGATTAAGCTGTTTGAATGGCCACCACAGAGTCCAGATCTCAATCCAATTGAGCATCTATGGGCTCATTTGAAGAAACATGTCCGCGCTCGCAAGTGCACTTCAATTACTGAGCTCAAGAAAGCGATTTTCGAAGAATGGGAGAAAATATCACCTACTATATGCGAAAGATTAGTACATAGCTTACCTAAAAGAATAGCAGAAGTCATAAAAAATAATGGCGGACCAAGCAAATATTAGTTTATATGATTATTTAAGAAATAAATGATAACATTTATAAAGATAGTGTTATTTATTTCCTTATAAATTGAAGAAATTGTTAAATAAATAAGGTGCCTAATAATTTTGTCAATGGCTGTAATTGGCGAAGATGGCGTCAAGCCTGATCCAAAAAAACTCGAGGCCGTGAAAAATTTTCCGAGACCGCGCAATCAGAAAAACGTGCGTCAATTTCTCGGACTCGCTGGATATTATCGCCGCTTTATCTCAAATTTCTCCAAACTCGCAAATCCGCTGTCGAATTTGTTAAAAAAGGGAGCTACTTTTAC